CTCTGTTTGGGCTCCCAGTTCCCCTTTCCGTGGCTCCTCCCCGGCACCGCATCCGGAGCCTGAGCCGGCTCCTCACTCACCCACAGGTGCCACCACCACCCCACAGCCATGCTGGACGTGCCCTTCCTGCCTTTCTGCGCCTTCCTGGGAACGCTGGGACTGCTCTGCGTGGCCATGGTGGGCAGCTGGTGCCAGCACTGGCGTGGGGGCTTTTCCCTGGATGGCAGCTCCCGGACATTCAACTGGCACCCGGTGCTGATGGTGACGGGATTGGTGGTGCTCTATGGCGCAGGTGAGCACAGGGAGCGCGGGCATCCCGGCACGGCTCCTTCCTGACTTTTTTCCCCCCTCACAGCCGCCCTGGTTTACCGCATTCCCAACACCTGGAACGGCCCCAAGCTTCCCTGGAAGGTGCTGCACAGCAGCTTGGCTTTGGGAGCGTTCGTCCTGACCGTGCTGGGGCTGGCGGCCGTGTTCCGCTTCCATAATTCCCAAGGGACGCCCAACATGTACTCGCTGCACAGCTGGATGGGGCTGGCCACTGTCCTGCTCTTCTCCTGCCAGGTGGGAACCCCTCCTGGATCCCCCAATCCCTCCAGCATCCCAAGTTTTCTGCCCTCACCTTCTCTTCCCACAGTGGGCAGCAGGTTTTGGAGCGTTCCTGCTTCCCTGGGCTCCCGCCTGGCTCCGAGCACTCTACAAGCCCATCCATGTTTTCTTTGGCTCCACCATCCTCATGTTGTCCGTGGCTTCCTGCGCTTCGGGAATCAACGAGAAACTTTTCTTCAGCCTGTGAGAGTCGGGGGAGAGGGGCTTGGGAAGAGCCCTCACAGGGAAAGGGGGGCTTGGGAAGATCCCTCACAGGGAAAGGGGGGCTTGGGAAGAGCCCTCACAGGGGTGGGGGGGTGCTCAGGATGTGGATTTGGACTGGATTTGGGAGTGACCAGTGCAGAGAAAAGGTAACTGAGCACTTCCTCAGGTGTGTAGCTCCCTGCACACTTCCCTGCAAGGTTTGGGGCGGGGGGTTTTGGGAACATCCAGAACATTCCCAGCCTCTCTTCCCTGCTCCAGAAAGAACGGGACTATGGACTACAAGCTCCTGCCGGCTGAGGCTGTGTTTGCCAACACCATGGGGCTCCTCATTCTCATTTTTGGAGTGCTGGTGGTGGCTGCTCTGGCCAGGCCCAGCTGGAAGCGTCCAGATTCCGACTCCCCCGACTCCCGCCAGGTACGGGACGCGCTGGGTGGATTTGGAAAGCTGAACTGGGAAGCTGCCCCCCAGCACAGTCCCGAGGGCGGGGAAGGATTGGGGGATCCAAGCTCATCCGTCTCCCACAGCCCCTGCTCTCTGCCGAGCGCTGATCCCAGGGATCTCCCAGCACTCCCAAGCTGCATCCTTGTGCCTCCATGTGCCAGCTCCTGCCTGGATCCCGCTCCACGCCAAACCCCAGCGCTTCCTGGTGCCATCCCTCAACGCTGCAGCTGGAGCTGCCGGAGCCTTGCTGGGACAAAGAGGAGCACCCGTATCGCTCCCACTCCAGAGGATTCGGCTCAGGGTGGAGCCACTCCGGAACTTCATGGATATGGAATAAAATGTTGGCTTCTACAGGGCTCCAGCACTTAAATCCCTGGGGATAAGGGAGGGCCTGGGAGCTGGGGTGGGTGAGGTGGGAGCTTGGGAGTAGGTCCTGGCCAAGCCAAGCTGCCCCTTCCAAGGGCTTGTCCTCGCTGGCTCCCTGGAGACATGGGACAGCTTCCCGTGGTCACCCCACGGGATTTGGGATCATGCTCTGCCCCATCCCCACTTCTCCTTTGCTCCTTTTCCAGAATCTCCCCCAGACCCCGTGCCCAGAGCCATGTGAGCTCTGTGGTTTCCCCTCCACACCCTGGGTTTCCTTCCTCCCCCAGTCACAGGATCCCTCTTCCCATCTCCCTTCCCAGCCTGGAGCAATGGGGGGCACCCCCACAGCCCCAAATTCCACCATCCCACCCCTCCATGCTAGCATGGGGGACACAGAGGGTTACTGGGGGCCACATCCTCAGGTTTATTGGGAAACATCCTTGAAAGAACACAAGAGTTTATTTGGATACACATCTCTATCACTACGAGGGGACACAGATTTTTGGGGATACACCTGTCATTACTGGGGGGTGCCCAGGGGGTCTCGCAGCCCCTCCAGCACTGCTCCCAGAACTGCTGCGACGGCCACAGCCCCAGGATCGGGCTGTTCCAGCCGGGATGAGCGGATGTAGCTGGCTCTGCCCGCCCCAGCCTCCATGTGCCTGGTAGCTTCTGCTGCCGCCTCTGCCCTCTGCCAGGGAAAACAGGGTGTTTTCCAGGATAACATCAGTGATTCCCACCCAATTTTCCACCATCCCAGCTCCCAGCTCTCCATACCTGGACGGCTGCTGCCAGCACTTGGAGCGGGTCAGCACCAGGACTGCGCAGGGAATGCAGAGCCTGTGTGGCTGCAAACAGCGAATCCAGCTGGGAAAAGTGGGATTAGTCTTGGTGCCAGGGCTGAGACCAGGTGGGAACTCCCTGACATCCCCCTGGAAGCCTCCCTGGTTCTCAGGCTCTCTCAGCACTTACCATTGTCCGGTCTCCTGGCGCAGCTCCTCCGTACCTGTGAGGGATGCAGGGAAATTCAGTGGGGATTGGGATTCCCAGGGGGAATTGGGATACCACAGCCCTTGGCACTGACCTCTGCATGGCCTCAATCCCAGCGTCCATGGCATCAGCCCACGCCGGGAAATCGCTGCGGCCGCGCAGGCTCCGGGCAGCCGCCGTCAGGAAGAGCCCGTAAAGCTTTGGGAATAGTGTCAATCCCATCCCAGAAAGGCAGCCAGGTGTGTCCCCCAATTCCCACTCCCATTCCCACTCACCACTCCAGAGGAGCCTCCCATCTGCTCCAGCAGCACATCAGCCAGGGCAGAGAGCAGCTGGGCTGGAGCCGCTGGAGGCGGCCGGGAGCGCATCCATTCCTGGATGGCTGTGGGAATGGAAGGGACAACGGGATGGGGGTGGCCCTGGAGTCCTCTGTCCCTCATGGGGACAAGCAGTGACAGTCTTCAATTCCATAGGGAAGCTGCCACTGCATGCAGAGACATTCCAGGATACAATTACAGGAAGGGGCACCCCAGGTTTCCTTAATCCCAAGAAAGGATGTCCTGGGGAACTCCCCGCTCCTGGGAGCTGCCATTGGGGCAGCATTGCCCACAATTCCCTGGATAATGGCTCCCACACCCACCTTGGGCTGCCCGGGCGTGCGTGTGGCCGCAGTCCCCGTCACCCGCTCCCCGATCCAGCTCGTTGAGCTTATCCTGCATATCCAGCAAGGTGCTGCACACCCGCTGCAGGACCCGCTCCACCCGCGCCGTGCCGGGGCCTGCGGAGAGGAGATGCATCCCTGCACATTCCGGGGGGAAACTGAGGCATGGGGGGGGATGTGACAATGGACGGGAGCTCTGTACCAGTTCCAGTCTCTTCCTGCAGCTTCCTGGGTCCCTCTATTGGAGCTGGCACCTCCTCCCTCCGGGTGGTCACTGGTCCAGCGAGAATGTTGGGCCACGCCATGGCCGTGGTCTTGGCATCTGGAAGAGCCAGAGACATGTGGTGGCTCAGGATCCCACTGGATCCTCACCGGCACACCCAGCAGCCAGGAATTCCACCCCCAGACATCCCACTGACCTTGTGTCCCATCACCCAGCACGTGGGAACCCCCATGCCCCAATCCCAGGCTGCATTCCCACCAGGAACTCACCGATCAGCCTCACCAGCTCCTCATCCACCAGCATGAGGGTGAGGGAGACTCCAGCCATTTCCAGCGCCGTCATGAAGGATCCCACCAAGGCCCGGGCAATGCGGATCCCTCGGTTCTCTGTGGGATCCAGGATCGAGATGGGGGCATTCCAGAGCAGCCAGAGCCAGGGAATAGGATCCCAAGCTCCCCTCTGCACTCACCCAGGGAGCGCACAGCAGCTCCAGCCACAATTCCCATCTCCAGGCAGGACAATCCACCCAGGTTGTTCACCACAAGTACCACAGAGGATCCTGCAGGATGGGGGGCAGGATGAGACAGGGATCTGAGGGATTTGGGGGAGCACAGAGGGTTTGGGGGTCTCACCAGGGGTCAGGGACAGGTGGGAAGCGTTGGATTGATCCGTCATGTGCTTCAGCATCGTCTCCACAGCCTTATCCGCTGGCAGCACCTGGAGGGGACACAGAGCAGGGGAAGAGCAGAGTGGGGAGGTCTAGAACTAGGGAGATCTGGGAATGAGGAGGAAGCAGCAGAATTCCCCCCTCACCTTCATCCTGCGCACTCCAGCCTCACCATGGATGCCTACGGAGACAGGGCCGTGTGACATGCCAGCCCTGGTGACGCCTCCCCGGGGGAACAGGGACATTCGGACCCTCCAGGGACCCGAGGGGAACACTGAGGGGCCGCTCCTCACCCAGCCCCAGCTCCATCTCGTCCTCAGCCAGCTGGAACGAGGGCTTGGATCCTGGGATGCTGCAGGGAGACAGGCTGAGACCCAGGGTACCTGTGCAGGTGGAAATGTTCTGTTAAAACTAGGGGTATTTTTGGGATTCAGGGGCTGGGGGACACAGGATAGCATTCCCATGGGATAACACAACGCACCCATGACTTTGGCAGCTGCTGTCACCTTCTTCTCAATCTCATCCAAGCTCGCTCCCGCCTCAGCCAGAGCTCCCGCCACCTGTCCCAGGCACAGAGGGTGAGTGACCCCCCAGGATTCCCCAAATCCCCATAAAGGGTTCCCAGCAGAACCTTGTGGATGAGGACAGTGCCACAAATCCCACGGCGCCCGGCTTTCCCCGGTGTGGCGAAGGCGCAGTCGTCGCCCACCACCACCATCCGCACGTCGGCCCCCTCAGCCCGCGCCCGCTCCAGGGCCATCCCGAAATTCAGCCGGTCCCCGGTGTAGTTCTTCACGATCAGGAGGATCCCGGCTGCAGGATGGATGTAGAGACAACGGGAATGACACAGCACTGGAGGGAGAAACCCCAAAATTCCACCCCAGTGTGTTCCCAACCTGCTCCGGCCTGTGCCACGGCCCGGATGGCTGCCAGGACGCTGCCCACGGATGGGGATGCGAACACAGCTCCGGCCACCACTCCGGTCAGCATTCCCTTCCCGACGTAGCCTGTGGAGAGGGAAGAG